TTCAATACAGGATTATGAGCTTGGGCTTGGTTTATTCTGTCATATTACATAGCTAGAAGAAAAATGTGACATGGTTTCTGTAAACAAATAGTTTCAGTATCAACCGCCCTTAAATTCAATCCAGCACAATAGAACCACCATGAGTAAAATGTACATCACATTTTTGGTCCACAAGCTGGCCAACAGATACTAAATTCATAGAGATTAGGTGACACTAGAACATCCTTAAAGTTGGAAGATACATCACCAACTGCCACAATGGGTAGAGCACTATCCTTGCTGTTTGAATTGTGAAAGCCACGATATTCTATGATATTACTTTAAGCCATAGGGAGAAATAGTCATATAATTAGAGACACCTGAGTCTAAAATTCAAGTAGATGAAGGATCAGTACTTTAAAGACCAAATGCTCAAAATGCACTCACAATCATTTCCTGCAATGTCTCTCGAGTTAGAAAAGATGTTGGAGGCTGTAAAGCAAAAATAGAAGTTGCAGCTGCCACAGTAGGATTAGCAGGTTGTAAAGAAGCATGATAATCCTTGCTTGAGCGTGAGGGACGAATATGACACTCCTGAATAATGTGTCATGGCTGCTTGCAGCAGTTACAAAATTTTCTAGGACATTGAGGGGCAATATGGTCATATTTCTTACAATTATAGCACTGTGTGGTGCTCATATGCTGACCCTTTCCCTTGCCATGAACGACATAGGCAACTGAGACAGTATTAGAAGCAATACGTGTCTGCTCTATAATATTTTTGAGTATTGAGATGGTGTTCCTCAAGCAAGAGTTCTCCAAAGCATGCCTACAAAGTTGGAACGTGGTCTCTATTTACTAGAGAGGCACGAACAGACACAAAGTCAGGCCCTAATTTCATAAGAAATTGGTTGCTTTGGTAGGTTTTGTGTACGTATTGTACTATCTTAGTCCTGCCTCCAATCCTTCTGTAGAGACCTTAGTTTTAACATGGTCTGAATAATCATTTCACAAAGTCAACTGATAGGTCCCCTTGGGAATAGTTAGCAATAGCCAACTCAGGCTAAAAGCGCCTAGCATTGTTTATAGACTTGCTTGAGATAATCCCATGTAGTCTTTGCAGCGTATAAGGATGCATAGAAAGAATAAAACGTGGTTCTATAGAACCAAGAATCCAGGACATGATTTGGTTATCTTTGGCAGCCCAAGTTGCTTTGTCAGCCGCAGAACCTTCTGCAATAGATCCCTCATCGTTGCTGCCATCTATAGGGATGCATAACTCCTTATCCTTGAGAAGTGTTTTTGCTAGTAAATTGGCTTGACCATTTTCTAACTTCTCAATAATTGTTGAGGCTATGATTGAGAAAGTTCAGACTAAGATTTTTTAGGGTATAGCTCCGATACCATAACAAAACAGTTCGAATTGTCTTCTCATTCGAGAAGGTCTTTCATTTTATAGACAAGATTAACAATCGTACCAGAACACTTAAGTTGTACATGCTAATCAAATAGAGTAATCCTAGGGAGTTATATATGGTAAGATATATCTCCTCTCCTATATTTGAGAGTATATCCAAGTTAGATTAATAAGTCAATTACAACTATTGCTCAGTAGTAATTTAGCTGTTACATGGTATAATTTATGGCCCTGCAATTATATCACCCAAAGAATTATTTTCAAACTATGTGAATAGTAGGTGAATTCGCCAATGAATGTGGTATTTTGCCAGTGAAATCATCGACTTAGCTGATAATATCTCAACTTTCTAAAGCTATGAAAAACATTCAGCAGACAGGACGGACGAGTCAAGTAGTTGCGAAGCTTACCTTTCAACAACTTTTATTGCAAGAAATGAAGAAACTAAAGGGGCTTTAGTTGTTGGTTTCAAGCTATTTTTAGTTTACAATTTTGCAAAATATCTAAAACTTGTTTCGTTAGGTATTCTTGAAAATGCATTTTTGAAAACAAGATTGAGTCCTTGTCTGATTTTGCTGAAAAATCAGATTTTTTGGCATTGAACGTTGACAGTGACAGCACGAGAAGTAGAAATGGGAAACAGGGCGATTTTGAGAGTGGTTCTATAAGGTTGACTCAGAACAAAACCTGATGCATCACTGCTAATGAACTCAAGGTCAATTTTTATCTCTTACTTTACTTTCTAGCATATGAGTGAAGCAATTCACCCTTTTTTCCAAAGATCGGAGTGCTTTCACCGTCGGAAACCTTCGTTTCCCCACCTACGTTATTCAACAAATGATCAGGTTCTGTTTATGCCGGACGGTTTGAAATTCACAATATACAGCATATTATGATGTGTGAAAGTGCTTCTTTTGACAAAATGGAACTATGAGCTTTGAAGTGAGATATTTTTTGCATAATTTACTTGTGTTACACTTGAGCTCTTGCTGCATTAACAAGTGTTTTTAACCGAATGTGAATCTTTTTCTAATTTTGTAGTACTTATTTTTTCTCAGAGTTTGTCGAACTTAACAAGTTTCTGCTAAAGGGGAGTGTTTTCCTTCGTATGCTTTAGAAATTAGTATTAGGTGAGTCGCTCATTGTGGGAATCTTGTGTACTTAGCCAGAGCGTTGAACACTGCTGGCTAATTATTCAAGTTTATTTAATCCTTTGATTAAATTCCCATTTTTTCCTATAGTAAATGGTTTTAAATTAAGCTGCTTTGAGCTTAATTTTAGGTGGAACCCGAATTTCGAATAAACGCGACCAAGCATTTTCATGTTCTACTCCATGAGACAATTAACATGAAATATTTATACATTGAAAAGCATTAAAAATTGCATGAAATATTTGATTTCAAATTTACCCACTTCAAACTCTAAATAAGGGATAATTTGATTAAAATTCCTAGTTCTTATTCCACATAGGAAATTTTGAAAAATATTGTTTGGTTTATATTATGGGAGATATTGTTGATTTTCTTTAAACGCCGTAGAAGGGAGCAAATTCGTCTTAAGGACACATCATGAAGTCGGTGCAATCGAATTAAATTTTTGAACATATTCATCATCCGTTCCTATTTGATCATGTTCATCACCTGTTACTCGGTCCAAGTCCCGTCTTGATAATCTGCAAGAGTAAGTATCTTCAGATTGTTTGAAGGAGAAAAATCGATACTCCAAATATTTCTACGATAAGAATAGGTTAGGCAGAGTTGTGAATCCGATTATCTGATTCTTTTTAAGTTAAATAAGAATTTAAGCTCGGAGAACCTGCTTTAATACGAGGTGGAGTAGAAGGTTTGATTATATTTCTTGATATAGAAGTAGCATTGCATTTTGTGCTGAAATCTCTTTGCTATTGTCTGGCATAATATATGTGGTCTATGTTGATAACTTCAAGCTTTCATGCTGAAATCTTGTAGCTATCACCTGGCATTTTATATCTGGTCTATGGTACATGATTTCTTAAAATATACAGTTTCAAGGAGTTCTTTTTTGTTCAGGAATTGGTAGGTCTCCTTTTTTCTGGAACTAGTATTTGCAATATCAGAGAAGTTTCGTGAGGGAATAAGAAAAATAGGGTGAGTACCTTTTCATCTCCAGCAAAATCAATGACATCAGATTTCCTTGGAAGGTTCAAGAAGCCTTCTTAGACTTGGAGAGGTGATTTACTGAATAACTTGGATAACGCTATTTCTGACTCTTGATTGTTTTTCAATATAGCTATAATTGTTCATGCAAATTTCACATTTCTGAGAATGTGGTGGAACCATTTCATCCATTCCTTTTATATTAGGCAATATACAACGTACTTTTATGCCCCTTTTTGTCGACCATTATTTGAAAACTCTTTTTTCTATATTCTCATTTTCAATCACACATTCACACAATAAAATATTCTATACGTAAACTCAAAAAAATTTCCTACTTTTTAACCACACACATTCAATAAAAAAATCAATGTGAGGATAATATTATTAGTACCTTTATAAGAAGAAGAAAATATATAATATTTATGGATGGTAGGATCTAAGAGTCCTAATGCAGATTATTCAAAACCATTCCAAATTGATAAGATATTCAGATTGAATTAAACATTGACTGACGTGGAGACGATGGGGAGATCATCTCTTCCACTATGTAAAAACAGTACCTTTACACTTGCAACAATCATCATTTAAAGAAAGAATTTGAAAAAGAATGGTTATCCACTATCCAGGTAAACGTTTTGGACCACTAATTCAATAAAGAAGCAAACATCCCACCTCAGAAAGCATGGATCACACATCTGCATACAACTGAAGAACCAGTCTTTGTGAGGAATCAATAACTAAACTGCTGACCACCCTACCCTACCCCACCCCTTCCCCTTTACCAGATTTTCTGTAATTCAGTTTTGTCAAAACCCCAGAATTTTTTTTTTTTATGACACAGACATGACTCGTGCAGCTAAAATTCAAGATCCAACAACTGCTCTTTTCCGGTTTCCTCTATATAAAGAGTGAAGAAGCATTGCTGGATCCCAGAAAGCTTCTTGTATCTGACTCATCATTGATGTCTTCGAACATTTCATTACTTACAAGCGAAGCAAGGAGGTAGACCATCGCAGCAAATCGACATTATGAAGAAATTAGATGTTATTGGAATTCCAATCAACTTCATGGACAGATATCCGAAAGGACTTTTATCAGATTCTGCCAGTCAATACAGCGTTGCGCCTTCTCCTTCCAATGGATTTTTCAAAATCAGAAAGAGTATGTATATTTTCTGTCTTTATAACTCGCTACGAATTCCCAGATTCAATACTCACAACCTTACTGGATTTTCTTGGGAATGCAGGCAGGACAAATTCAGGAATCCTTGGGATGAATAAATTTGGAGAATGGATGGATAATTTTGCACAAGGAATCCGAGAGCATGGTAATGCCTTGGCCTAGATTATTTGTAGTAGTTACTATTATATTGGAGGATGTTGATATGCTCGACTAGACAAAGCCAGACATAATTAAGGAAGAGATTTTCTATTTATTATATAATCCTATCTTATCCTGTACAACAAACTTGCTATCAATAACTTCTCGAAACAAACTTCTCTTAAAAAAGAAAACATTTCAATATATCACTGCATTTCCCCTTCTCAACCATCAAATACAATTGAATTTCTCAAAT